ATATTAGAATTCTGAGTTGTGACTTTATTGACTTGCTTGCTTTTTCTTAGGCTTTGTAATATGTTAAAGTGTACTATCCTAATAAACTGAATACTTTGGTATCTAGAGAATTAAAAAAAAATCAATTTTAAAGGAATACTCCACAGGATGGAAAATAAAATAAAGAAGGACAGCCATAAAAATGAGGGCAGAGGTAGAATGAGCATGTCTGATGGTTTTAAGCACTTGGCAGAGGTAGAAAAGCTGACCTTATACCCCAACCCAGGCCTTTTCAGGGAGGACAGCTTTTTCCTGCTTTCCACTATCCTTTACTTACCACACTTCATGTACACAGAGATATAAATAACTGATAAAGAATACTTACCTGCTCTGTGGTCTTTGCATTTTATTGTGTATTAGAGCCTTGGAGCCTTGAGCTAACAGATGAAAGATCCTTTGTCGTGGCAGCATAAAAATAGGTGATATGGTTTTGTTCTGTGTCTCCACCTAAATCTCAACTTGAATTGAACTCCCATAATTCCCATGTGTTGTGGGAGGAACTCAGTAGGAGATAATTGAATTGTGGGGCCAGTTTCTCCCATACTGTTCTCCTGGTACTGAATAAGTCTCATGAGATCTGATGGTTTGAAAGGAGAAACTTGTTTCACTTGGCTCTCATTCGCTTTTGCCACTGACATGTAAGATGTGCCTTTCATCCTCTGCCAGGATTGTGAGGCTTCCCCAGCCAAATGGAGATGTAAGTCCAACAAACTTCTTTCTTTTGTAACTTGCCGAGTCCCAGTTATGTCTTGATCAGCAGCATGAAAATGGACTAATACCGTAAATTGGTACCAGTAGAGTGAGGCACTAATACCGTAAATTGGTACCAGTAGAGTGCTGAAAAGATACCTGAAAAATGTGAAAGGGAACTGGGTAACAGGCAGAGGCTGGAACAGTTTGGAGGATTCAGAAGAAGACAGAAAAGTGTGGGAAAATTTGGAACTCTTTAGAGACTTGTTGAATGGCTTTGACCAAAATGCAAATAACAATATGGACACTGAAATCCAGGCTGCAGTGGTCTCAGATGGAGATGAGAAACTTGTTGCCCAGTGGCCTCGGAGGAAAAGATGGTTTCATGGGCCAGGTCCAGGGTGCCCTTGCTCTTTGCAGCCTAGGGACTTGATACCCTGTGTTTCAGTGGCTCCAGCCATGGCCAAAAGAGGCCAAGGTACAGCTCAGACTGTTGTTTCAGAGGGTGCAAGCCCCAGGCCATGGGAGCTTCCATGTGGTGTTGAGCCTGCAATTGCACAGAAGTCAAGAACAGAGGTTTGGGAACTCCCACCTAGATTTCAGAGGATATATGGAAACTCCTGGATGCTCAGGCAGAAGTTTGTTGCAGGGGCAGGCCTAGAACCCCTGCTAGGGTAGTGCCGAAGGGAACTGTGGGGTCAGAGCCCCTACACAGAGTCCCTACTGGGGCACTGCCTAGTGGAGCTGTGAGAAGAGGGCCACTGTCCTCTAGATTCCAGAATGATAGACCCACCAAAAGCTTGCACTGTGCACCTGGAAAACCCATAGACACTCACTGCCAGCTTGTGAAAGCAGCCAGGAGGGGAGCCATAACCTGCAAAGCCACAGGGGTGGAGCTGCCCAAGACCATGAGAACCTATCTCTTGCATCAGCGTGACCTGGATGTGAGACACGGAGTCAAAAGAGATCATTTTGGAGCTTTAAGATTAGACTGCTCTGCTGGTTTTCAGACTTGCCTGGGGCCTGTAAACCCTTTGTTTTGGCCAATTCTTCCCAATTGTAATGGCTGTATTTACCCAATGCCTGTACCCTCCTTGTACTAGGAAGCACAATGTACTAGCTTGCTTTTGATTTTATGGCTTCATGGGTGGAAGGGACTTGCCTTGTCTCAGATGAGACTTTGGACTGTGGACTTTTGAGTTAATGCTAGAATAAGTTGTGACTGTTGGGAAGGCATGAGTGATTTTGAAATATGAGGACATGAGATTTGGGAGGGGTCGGAGTGAAATAATATTGTTTCTCTGTGTCCCCACCCAAATCTCATGTCAAATTTTACTCCCATAATTCCCATGTGTTGTGGGAGGGAGCCAGTGGGAGATGACTGAATCATGGGGTGGTTTCCCCTGTACTGTTCTCATGGTAGTGAGACCTGATGGTTTGATACCGGGAAAACTGTTTCACTTGGCTCTCTTGCCACCACTATGCGAAACGTGCCTTTCACTATCCACCTTGATTGTGAGGTCTCCCCAGCCACGTGGAACTGTAAGTCCAATTAACCTCTTTCTTTTGTAAATTGCCAGTCTCGAATATGGCTTTATCAGCAGCATGAAAATGGATAATACAACAGGCAAGGAGTGCATTACTATTACGACATTCAAAACACTGCTGAGCTCACGCCAAATACAAAACTTTTATGTGCAACTGTAAGGACACAAAATCTTGATCAAGTATTTGTAAGGAAACAATGCCAAAACCCACTGGAAACATTACATAGAATGACCTGAGTTCTAAACACAGTCTTATGACATGTTTTGGAAAAATAACAAAATCGCCATTAAGTAGGTCATGCAAAAAACAGGTAGAGTCACATACAGAGCTTATGTGTAAAAAAAAAAAAAAAAAAAAAAAAAAAAAAAAAAAAAAAAAAAAAAAAAAAAAAAATAGAGAGAGAGAAAGTAAATCCTGAGATTCAAGATAAATAAAAGATGAAACAAATTACAATGGGTAAAAGCAAAAAAGTATAGTGAAGGTAAGCGTTACACTGCAAATAAGTCAATAATCACATATAATCAAAACTGCCCTTGACAATCCTTAGAAAAGTGCCATATTAGATAGAAACACCATCTCTCTGTAAGTCTAACAAAGCCAGTTTTTTCCTCCAGCAATGGAGCAGATCAGTATTTATTTGCGTGATTTTGAGTTTAGGGCCATGTAGTATAAAAAATATATGTCTCTAAAAACAATAGGAGCAAACTCAGCGTGGGTAATCAGCTTTATCATTTAAATTTTTTAAACTACTAATTTATTCTCTCTCTCTCTTTCTCCTTACAATTGTGTATTTGTGGGTGAATTTGTATGTTAGAGACCTGCATGATAGGGACCTATTACATCTAAGACAAAACCTGGAAAGAGAAAAGAGATCAGGCAATCCACAATTCATCAGACCCTCCAGGAAATATCAGAGCAGTTTGCTTGTCGCTGCATTAATAGAATTTATTTTAGCCTATCTTTCAGTATTACTAAAGTTTTTGCTCATTTATAAATATATTAGATCGTAGGAGCCTAGAAAAGGTGCTAAGAACAATCATTTATTGAGGGAGCTCTATAAGGTGTTGCCACTCTCTGGAAACTCATTTAACCACACTGTAAGGCAAGTATTCTCCTTTTACATATAAGGAAACTCTCTCAGAATCCGATGTAGCTTGTCCCAGTAAAAACTTTCAAGGAGCAGAGTCAGAATCAGAATCCACATCTGCCTGAACCCCTGGTAGACATTCTTCCCACTCCCTTAGTTGGTAAGGCAATGGGCCCTGAAACCGTGCTCCTCGTGGACACACATAATTGAGATCATGCTTTCTTTTCATCATATATGTTTCCTTAAGAAATCTCCAAGCATCCTCTAATCATGCACCTAAAAACATGTTAAAGATAAAACCTGTGGTCTATGTTGATTACCATGCTGGGATGGTATCATTCATTCTGGCGCCTCATCATGCTAGGGAGGCCACAAATATTTGTTGAAAGAATGAATAAAGCACTAATACCGAAAAAGAGAAAAACAAGTTTGGGAATAAAAATGAAATAGAAAACTAACAAAGCATTTGAATAGAAATGAAGTCTTTTGTTCATTTCATGCACATTGAGATTTGCATAAAATGAATAAGCTGAATAAACCAGCTAACTGAATTTTAGTAGAGTTTTGGCTATTCAGAACAAGCATGATGAATATTTCAAACTAAAGGTTCACCACGTTTACTTGGAAAATGGGTCCTCTTAGATCACCTTGCTTTCATGGTAAAAAATGGAAAGGGCAGGATATTTCTAGAAATATTTTCCACCAGGGATACAACATTTTTTCAAGTAACAGCCCAGCAAAACTACATAGCATCCCAAAAGTTTTGTGGCACCTATAAGTCCCTGTTGGGCAATACAGCATTATAATTTGCTTCTAAACTACCTATAAATTTGCTTACTAAGTCAGGATAAATCTCCTTGAAAACTACATACTTCTCTCCTCTCTAACCATTGCAATTCATGCCAGAGATTCTGCACAGGGCAGTAATCAGGGAAAGATTGAGATAAAGGGTTAAGAA